GTACTGTACATAATACCAAATGGAGAGGTGTTCATTGTTACTATAAATATGGGAAATGAAGGTCATGTTCACAATCAGTACAGTAGAAACTAGGAAGTGGATTTCAGTGAAGATGTTACAAGTGATCTGATAGTTCTCTCTTACCCTTGAACATCATAAATGCACTGGCCATCTTCAGATCCACTATCATATTCACTTGAATCACAGGAACTATTAATAAAAGGTTCACATGTAAAAGTGAATAAATATTTGGGAAAAGGTAAAAGAAAATGTTTAGAATCCAGTAGAGGATGATAGGAAATGAGGAATCCTTTTTGGTTAATAAAATGTACTAGAACATCCCGAAGGGGGGATGGGAAAGTGTTGGGAAGTGTGGATTTTTTTATCAGATGACTCATTGCATACTATTTGATTTGCCATCAAAACTCAAAAGATGCTGCTACTTATTAACTAAATTGTGAATACAACTATGCAAGTAATAATTACCTTGTATCATGATCTGATTCCGAACTTGTGCTATCACTCTCGAATGAAGGGTCTTCATGGTATAATCCAAATTCAGGATTGACAGATATGGAAAGACTCTCAATTCTGCTCACGTCAAGACTAGCAGATATAGGTGCAACATCCATGGCTCTGTTTGGGAAAGTAAATTACATTAACCCTGATTTCCAGTAAACCTGGTTTCATTTTGGTAGTATCTCTCATGACAGGAGCACGTCCAACTATGTGAAATAGCCAAAATGAGCCAAACGATAATAAAGAACAAAATAGATAAGATACAATATACAGTATACCAGTTGCTATATAACTCAAGACTTTATATGGAACCGGGTTGGCCTTCTTAGTCAGGAGATAGCCTGGTAAACGAGATCACAGTATAGGAAAACTACAGTAGGGCCACTCAGTGTAAAAAAGTGTCCACATTGTTTACTGGCTGCCAACCTAATTTACATATTGGCAGCCAACGGCAGCAGTTCACTATGAAATTGTATTACAGAGTAATGTTTTGGCCGTGTAAGACACCTGGGACCTAGCTTAAATAATTCCCACTTTTCTCTCCTAAGTAGCGCTACTGGTCGTCTCTCTATACTGTGGTGAGATCTCACTGTGCAGTTATTTTTATAGTAAAAATTACCATTTGAAAGAGGTGAGATGTCACTTGCCAGAATAAAGATTTCTCTATCTAAACATGAACAAACAAGCTGGCCCGGTTGCAGGGATGACAGTTCAAAGATGCCGCTGCAAGCTATTTTTAACTGTCAAAAAAAAATTTTCCTGGCAAGCAGTATAAAAGTTTCTCATATAAACAGAAGAGACATTTATCCTGCTTACCTGGCCGATCAGCCTGGCTTCGATATAAACAGCCCCTTATTGGCTTATTCTGTTATTCAAGGTCAAGGAAAAACACATTAATATTGTGACATCATGTTCGGCAACAAGGCACTACTATTAAAGCATTTAAAGGATAATATCCACCGTATTTCTTACGTTCTATTATTTTCAACACTCACATGTCATTGTCAGTCTCATGGACAATGGGTGACAAACACAAATTTCGATCAGGTTTGCCTTTACCAACAGGTGTTGAAGACAGAACATACGGCAAGGGTCGATCTGAAGTGTAATATACAAAATATATGATCATATAGGACGTAGATAACAAATCATTTTAAAATATAAAGAAATTAATTGCATTATTAAATAACAAATATGTAGTATTTACCATCGCCTGGAGATTCCATTGATTGCAAAGGCTCGTCTTCGCAATAATTCAGAAGCAAGTACCGTGCAAAATCACTATGTGTCTTCGTTGAGAATCCAATAGAATCTTTTCTCGTAATCCACATCTCATGTACGTCCTTCTTTAATTTTATGCGCACAAATCCTATCTCATCTCTTGGCCTTCCACGCTTTGGCGGCGATGCACCAGACGAAGACATGATCGGTATTATTCTTTTATTATATACATATTATAAACACCGTCACACTATAGACTTCAATTTGTCGTTTATTACGAATAAATATTACGAAATGCTTAACAATATGTCAAGCCATATATTCACAGCCCAGAAATTCAGGAATAATGAATAATTTATGATGAAAGTTGTTCGGATATTCGAGGATTTAGTCACTCAACTCCTAATATACGAAAGCAGCCATTTTCAGGGCACCCTAAAATGGCCGACAAGCTGTGACCAAGCGCGCAAAGCATTACCCTGAGACTCATTCTTTAAGTTCATATATCAATGACAACGACATCATTTGTAAACAGCAATTTGGCTTTAGACCAAATCATTCTACAGAAACTGCCCTATTAAAATGCTCAGATCAATGGCTACTCAACATGGATAAAGGAATGGCAAATGGAGTGCTATTTTTGGATCTTAAAAAAGCGTTTGACACGGTTGATCATTCTATTCTCCTACAAAATCTATACCAATATGGTATAAAGGGTACTCCTCTAAAATTACTAGCATCTTACTTAAACAACAGAAAACAAGTTTGTGTCATTAATAATAACAAGTCAGGCCAAGAAACAGTTCAATGTGGAGTACCACAGGGTTCCAATCTGGGACCATTGCTATTCTTATTGTACACAAATGATTTACCAATGTGCCTTGAGTACACACAAGCATCCATGTTTGCTGATGACACCAATCTATCATGCACAGGAAGGACCCCAGCCGAAATTGAGCAGAAACTAAACGCTGACTTATCCAATGTTAACGACTGGTTAGAAGCAAATAGGTTGACATTGCACACAGACAAAACAGAATTTATGATAATAACCTCAAAAAGAAAACTTAATCAATTTCGCACTCATATTCGTATACATATAAACGGATCCATTATTAAACAAGTTAAGCAAAAAAACACCTTAGGTATTACAATTGATAACGAACTAAGGTGGACTGAACACATTAATGAGCAATGCAAAAAACTTTCAAGTGCAATAGCTCTGCTTAGAAAGGCAAAACCACACGTACCTTACAACGACTTACTCCGTATTTACAATTCCCTGGTAGTTCCTTACTTTACATACTGTTCGACAGTTTGGAACGATGGAAACAAAACAAATTTGGAAAAAATTTATAAATTACAAAAGCGAGCCGCTCGTATAATTACTGGATTAAACTATGAAACAAGATAAAAAACAATCCTCCAGAGTCTAGGTGCCAATAGATAACATTCTTAAAAAAAGAGAATTTCTAATTACGTTTAAGGCTATCCGAGGTATAGCGCCGGAGTGCATCTGTAATATGTTCTCCTACTGTGATAATAGAAGTCACCACATGCGGAGCAACGGGCGGAAACTAACTCTCGATAAACCTAATAGATCATTTATGAAAAAGTCATTTTCATATCGAGGAGCTTCCGCCTGGAACTCATTACCTAACGAAATCTTAGGAGTTCACGAACAGTTGACGATACATTCTTTTAAAACTAAGCTCAACAATCACCTACGTCGATAAAATATCCAATTGTAAAGACTCCTAGTCAATTACACTATTTTGTAAATACTTATACTATTTTGTAAATATTTATTTTGTACTTTCTTTTATGTAAACAACCCCTTTAAAAGCAGCGTAGGCTGAAGGGTTATTGTTTGTAAATAAGTTTTAATAATAATAATAATAATAACCTTGTAGCTCAGACGGTAGAGCATCGTTCTAGAAATGCGAAGGTCGCGGGTTCGAATCCCAGCCGCGGTCAAGTAGAATTTTCTGCTTGCCCGGTTTGGTATACACTCGTCTGAAAACAACTCAAAAACCGCTACATAACGTTACACGAGTGGAATCGTAAACGTGAGAAACCACAATATATATATATATATATATATATATATATATATATATATATATATATATATATATATATATATATATATTGTTTGATGCTGAATTAATATAAACAAGACGCCTGCCCAGGTGTTCACACTGGCCTGAAAATAACGACATACGTGCTATGGTGCAGTAGACAAGAATACAAGTCGTAAACCGCAAGCGAATTGTATGGATTTTTAAAAAAAATAAAAGACCTTTTCGGGAGACCTATATAGTGCAAATATATAACTAAGAGTTACTATCGCAAGGAAAGTGCTGCCTTTTTGCAACATGAACTGAATGCAAAAGATTGTATTTCTTATTAGCTTTGACCAAATGGTTTCATTTTCACGATTCATCATTGGTAACATGGCAGGCCTGCACATGCCGTTATATCCCGTATGTTTCCTGCACAAATTTGTTTCTTGTTCATCATTTTAAGCCCAATCACAAGCTTATTCTTACATTGTGTGCACGGAATAAACGCTTATTCTTAGATTTTGTGCACGGAGTAAATAACCAACATGAAAATGAGGCCATTGGGTCAAAAGTGGATATTAAGGGCTATTAACCTATTAGCTGTCAATCTGTCAATATGCACTACTTTCACAAATAACTCTGACTAAAGCCAGACAAATTAATACACTGTGTACCGCCAGATGATTTTATAGTTGTCATGCACCCTACTTTAGTATTTATTGTCTGTCTGCTTTAGTATTTACTGTATAGACAATTGCACTGCCAGTAAAGTACTGCCTGTAAATGGGTTAATTTCGCGTTATGCCCCTGACTGGAAAGTTTGGAAATTGCGCGCCGGAGATTTCGGAAATTTAATAGTAAATATATAGAAGGGCATCAGAATTGTGCGCCGGACCACTGGCAAAATTTTACGATTTTTATTGTTTCTACTTTGTAAATATCTCGGCGAGCATTTACCTCCCTTTAAAACGAAAAGCATCGTTGTAATCCTGCTGGGGCGGGGGGTCAAATGCCGTCAAAACATTACACAAACCAAAACAATCACAGCCTATATTTAACTCTGACTAACGCCAGACAAATTAATGCACTGTGTACCGCCAGACGATTTTATACTTGTCACCATACTTTAGTATTTATTGTCTGTCTGCTTTAGTATTTACTGTATAGACAATTGCACTGTCAGTAAAGTACTGCCTGTAAATGGGTTAATTTCGCGTCATGCCCCTGACTGGAAAGTTTGGAAATTGCGCGCCGGAGATTTCGAAAATTTAATAGTAAATATATATAAGGGTATCAAAATTGCGCGCCGGAGATATCCGCTGCGCAGTAAAAACTCATGCCCCACTGGCAAAATTTTACATTTTTACGATTTTTATTGTTTCTAATTGTAAATATCTCGGCGAGCATTTACCTCCCTTTAAAACGAAAAGCATCGTTGTAATCCTGCGGGGGCGGGGGCTCAAATGCCGTCAAAACATTACACAAACCAAAACAATCATATATTTATACTCACCGCTTGGCCAAACATTCTGTATTTCATACCGAGAAAAAAACTTGAATATCTTCTAAAATTTCTAGAGTTTGTTCGGAGTCAATGTGAATAAAATACGTCTTGTAATCAAGCGCTTTCATGTACAAAGTTTCGTTTGAATACGGCACAGAGTAGAAATATTTATATTGATTTTTCAAAATATCGGGTTTTACTCGCACGCACGTGCCACGGCGCCATGTTGATGCTTGGCCATATTTTATAGCCCGATCAATGCACGTGCAACCTTGCCATTGGGAGTTCTTTGAACTACAGAATCGATTTCCAGTTTTTCAGACCCCTACGATTTAATTAAACAGCTCATTGTTTTGATGTGCCGAAGTTATGTTAGGCGAAATGTATGGCTAGTTTAATTAAATGTTAGTTATATTATGAAATATGATATCATACCTTATTTGTATTAAAATTCGCGTCCAACTAATGTTATTGTATTAGGCAAGCGAGAAACATACAATAAATGCTTTAGTTTTTGTTGCTATTTTGAACGCACGCTTTATCTTTACTGTAGCTACCACAAAGCTTTTTGCGCGGATAATATTTCGCGCAGTACTAAAATTTGCGCACCCAGCGCTACAGTACAAGAATTCCAGTATTGCGCGAATTTTAATACATGTACGATATATTGTCGACATCTTAAACTAACGTAAGGAATTAGGAAATTTTGTTTAATTGAAACTACGTTGTGTAGTCAAACTTTCAACCTTTAACTTGTCCTTGTTTATATTCCACAATATTGTATAAATTCGCGGGGTCTAAATTTTGGGGTTTTCGAGTCGTTTAATACAAAAAGAAAAACATTAATTCAACATCCAAGAAAGTCCAGAGTGCGACACAAAAATGAACACAAGTACACAACGGATGTTTATGAGTCCACAAACGTATATTTATAGTTGTTTATTAAAGTCAAACTGTCAAATCTTTAACTTGACCTTGTTAATTGTATTCCACTATATTGTATATTCCACTATATTGTATATTAGAATTCGCTGAGTTCAAATTTTGGGGTTTTCGAGTCGTTACACAAAGAAAAACACATTAATTCAACACGCAAGAAAGTCCATACTGCGACGCAACGTAAATCCACAGAAAACCGGCACAACTCTTTGAAAATACAACGAAACTGTGTGAAATATATTTTGATCACTCAGCCAAAAGCCGCCATTTTGAAACTGAGCCTGCGATGAGTTAACGCAAAGTCGATTTCTCGACTACGAAAAAAACAGAAAACCTCCAGGAAAAAACAGAAACAGAGGGATTTAAGACACTTGCCTACAGGCCAGTGTAACGAGTATGTTTAAGACATTCAGTATATATTTCATAATTTCCAGTCTTAAATCCGTCTGACCGTGTAGCTCAGTTGGTAGAGCGTCGATCTAGTAATTCGAAGGTCGCGGGTTCAAGACCCAGCCGCGGCAGACAACATCTTTCTGCTTGCGTTGGGTATGGAAATTATATAATACACACTCTAGAACATTTTCATCTTATAGAACACACTCTAGAACATTTTCATTATATATATATATATATATATATATATATATATATATATATATATATATATATATATATATATATATATATATATAGT